GGTGTAATAGAAAGAAATTTTTTTATTTAAGTACTATAAAATTATTTAAAACAATATGAAATTCTATTCTCCATAATATCCTATTAAGTAATAATATGACTTTTATTTATTTACTATTGTTGTTAATTTTTATTTTTATATATTCTTTTTTATAGATTTCGACTATTTAATATATAAATTTTATTATTTATTAGTTTATAAATTATTATAAATGTATAAGATCATATGATATTTGCATACAAATTACTTGTATGTAATGATAAATTACCGTTTATCAAGGTCTTATAATTTTTTCAATAATTCATAATTTGCGCATCGCTTTATAACTGACCAACATTTAACCCATAATATTTATCTTCCGCTATAATTATTAAACGCATTAAATGTTCAAAACTTTGATAAGTAAAATTTTAATTTTTAGTTACTTTAATTCTTATGCAACACATAATTTTTTATGGTTAAATATTTTATTTTTATGTTTTTATTTTTTATTTAAATTTATTTTTCTCATTTATTTTTTCAACCTATATAATAAGTTATATAGTATATATTCGAATATTTAGATATATTATATATTTCCATAATTTCCAAGTGCTATACTTTATATTATTATAAATTGTTTTTTTATTAACTTATTTTTCTTTATAAAATAGTATATAAGTAAAAAAATATATATTTTTAAAAATTGAATAGTTTTTTATTGTACATAGATACTTCTAAGATGAAATTTATAATTATGAATTGCATCCGACCATCAAATTATATAATATGTTTAATCAAAACAATTTCCATAATATTTTTTTTTTTTTTGAATTGTATCAACAAACCACTATTACATTAGTATAAGATCTTATTAAAAATATATCTAATAAATTTACGGTCAAAATTTCAATTTAAGCCAATTTTTAATTAATGAGTAACAATCATTCAGTGTATAAAGTTTAATTATATTTTTGATACATAAGATTTGCTAATAAATAAATATTAATCAAATGCCAAATATAGCCGAAAAAAATTCCTGCCCAAAATCATGACAATTATGGCAATAAGGATTCGTCTATTATATAGATATAGATTATTATTTTGTCAATCGCTTATTATAAATATTATCAAAAGATACAATTAAATATATAAAGTTAAATTTCAACATTACAATTTCAAAAATCAAAAACAAAACCAATTATATACAATTGTTAGCTTATCTCAATAACAATTAATAACTCATAAGATTAGTGTAAGAAATTGGGGAAAACGGGTACGGTCTCACTAACATTAAGCGCACCATAAGCAGGAAAAGCCCATATGAAGCCCAAGTGGGGTTCCATCCCAAAATCAATTGGTGGAAGGAGGAGTAGCCCATTAGTCTTATAAGGTGGGTCTATTTTCCATGTATGAACGATGTGGGACAACTCACTAGTGATATTCTAACAATTAGCAATATATGATCTCAAGAATATTGTTGCCCTCATAGATTAATTCTAAGTTCTACATACCAACTGCATAGATTATTAGTTCCAATTTCTGCATGCCAATTTCAAAAAATCACAACAAAAATTAAATTATGTACAAAATCTTTTGGCAATTTTGCTATGAAGCTTATAGTAATTGGCTCCATAGTGGAGCCAACCTTCTATATACAGTAAGTAACCATATTATATTTGTTAGAATATGCACTTGTGAGTTGTCCAACATCGTTCATACATGGAAAATAGACCCATCTTATAAGTCTAATGGGCTACTCCTCCTTCCACCAATTGGTTTTGGGATGAAACTCCATTTGGGCTCATATGTGCTTTCCCAGTTCATGGTGCGATTCATGTTATTGGTTCGGCACCCATTTTCCCCCAGTTTAATTGTCGTATATAGAAAGTGGGCTTCACACCAAAACTGAATCTTTTGGTTACTTGAATGGAAGGTCTCAACATTCATTTCAATGACAAAGATATGTATATCCAAAACTTTTAAAACTTTATTCTCTAAGCTCTTCAAATATTATTCTCCACTTCAAAAGTTTAAACTGTTTCCTTATTGTTCTGTCCTCATTGCTAATACAAGTTAAAAAGATCCTCTACCAAATTACCAACGAGCAGCTTAATAGAACAACGTTGACATTAATTTGTCTGCAATTTCAATAACGCTTTATTCCATTTTGGATTCAATACTATATATAAATATTGCAGCATTTTACCTAATTTCTCCAAGGGGTATGAATCCACTATATATATATATATATATCCCTTTATTACAAAATATTCTGATGTTACGTGTCTACTTCTCATGTTTCGTTATTTTATGTGTCAATTTCTGACGGTTCGAAATAGTCTATGTAGGTCTGTATTCTATTTATGTAGGTATTCTAGTGAAATATATTGTATTGGACTAAATTATGTTAATGAAACAAACTGTTAATGAGTTCGATTTGACTCGATGAGACTTAGCTTAGCATCAAACAAGTCTAGTTCACGTTAGTTTAGCTAACGAGTCGATCAACTAAACTCACTAAAGGTTGAAAATAGGAACTTTTATGTAATTTTATTACAGATCGCGGATTGTTAAAAACTCGAGCTACTCGTTTTGTTAGTGACTCTGAGTTGATAAAGACTCGAGCTAATATTCACCAAAACGTCAAATCTCTGTAAAATTAATAAGCGAAGAACATAATTTTGACCTGATGATTGACTTTTGAGTTAATTTTCATTAAGAAAATTTCGACTAAAATTCATAAAAGTCATTTTCGGGGTTCGTCTTTCTCATGCATCAAATCAATGGCATATCATCTTTAATTTTGTCTTCTTCCGATCCCTAAAACAAAAGATGAGTTCCCGTCAAGCTTTTTACGGGCTTTAAGTAGAAAGTGTGCCATATGAAAATGAGACTATTTCGTGTTCGAGTTCTGGGAATGCAGCAGTGTTAAAACTCTTGAGGGA